AGGTCAGTTATTGCCCTGTGCTGAGTAAATCGATTCCAGTGACACCATTCCGTGATACATCTGAAGCACAAATTCCAAGCGATGAAACACTTCAACGATTTGCATCGTTTGTGTGCAATAACATCGATCCGAACAATGTGACAGCATCACTTGGAGTAATACTCAGCAAAGACTCAATGTCCAATGCACAAATCGACGAGTCTCAAGCTATTTTTACAAATGGTATGGCCACGAGTGAAGATGATATGCGAAATAACATAAAGATCAACGAGATGGCCAATGAAATGGTGGCTAATGCTCACCCAGATCCAATCATTATTAGTGAATGTGACGATATGAACGCACTGCATGCTCAAAAAGTGGAGGCGATTAACAACGATCTACCAATCGATACGATGGTTGTTGATTTGACAACTGAAAATGACGAAGCATCTCCAGAAAAAGCGAACAAACAAACCAATCAGAAAGATGTAAAACCAGTGACAACGAATCAATGGCGAAAGAGAAAAATCGAAGGGCCATCGACATCGAATGGCAATTCAAAGAAGAAACGGAAGATTGCACCACGTTCAACATTGAAAACCATTCCAAAATCGACTTCAGGTAAGATTTGATAGAAGTGCATGTCAAAAAAGCTTAATAAATAATCCAGAGTCTTGTTGTTTCCACACAGATTCACCGTCGATTGATATGACAGGTGGGAAAGCAAAAAGTGTTAAGCAGTCAAAAGGCGTGGTTGCTCAAACAAGTCAACAGATTGAATCTAATTCAAATGGCACTGAAGAACAGAATGGATCGACGTCAAATGGGAAATCCAAAACAAAATGTGAGTTTTGTAATTATGTGGCCACACGTCCAGCAGGTTTGATAATACACACACGCATACACACTGGCGAGAAACCATTTGAATGCAAGATTTGTGCGAAAGGATTTACTCAAAAGGTTCATCTGAACAGTCATATGAGAACACACGCAAATCAATTCCCATTCCAATGTTCGATTTGTCGACAAGTATTCACGGTGAAACGGGCAAAGGAGACTCACGAGAAAAGCTGTAATCAACGACGATATGAATGTTACTTATGTAAATATGATACATTAAAGAAATCAGACTTAGTCACGCATATGCGCATTCATACCGGCGAATTGCCATTTCAATGCAAAATATGTAGGAGAAGATTTACTCAACCGAGTAATTTGAAAAGGCACATGAGGATCCATGCAAATCAATTTCCGTTCCATTGCTCGATTTGTCGACAAGGATTTGCAGTGAAATGGGCAAAGGACATACACGAGAAAAATTGTAATCAACGGCGATTTGAATGTTACTTGTGCAAATATGCTACATTAATTAAATCACACTTGGTTGCACATATGCGTCTTCATCACACCGGAGACAAACCATTCCGTTGCTCTCATTGCTCAGAACGATTCAGTCGAAAATCTAATTTAAATCGACATCAAAAACGCCATCAGAACAAATCCAAGTGATTTTTGTAACAAAACAAAACAGTTTTGCTCCATTCTTAAATGTATAGAGATAATTTAGATGTAAATCTCGTGAATATATCGAAAGAAGACATGCAATTCTTGCTAGAATTTTTTTGAATTGAAAAGTCATTATTTGTATGAAGTACCGAAAATAAGACCGAGAATGTTATAATTGATTGTATTCTAACTGACGTGGAGTGTATAAGAAATTTTGAAGAATAGGACGAATTATTGCAAAGAATAAAACGAAGATACAAAACAAACTCGTTTGTTTCTCTTATTTCATTGATAAATGTCGTCGTTTGTTCCTCAATATTACTTTGTCCATGATTTTCAATTATCTAAATTTGTAGAGCTGATCGAAATGGATTGAATGTATCATCTCAGCATCATAAAATAGTACTTTTTGTGAGTAAATTATAATGCTGTAAGATAACTTTTGCTATTTCATGAATCTAAATTCAACTGATCGGTTCACATTCGAAAGTATCGCTTATTGTGTACTCAACCATACTCTATCGAAGGAGTGGAGAGTCGCAATGATGGGATATTTTGTGTGTAGAGTACAAAGTGCAGTTTGACAGTTGTATGATGACACGTCATTTCTGAGTGTTTATATTTGTATCGACAACTAGCTATTGTGTGTTTACGCTCTTTGAAACTTTTCTTTTTTTGTGTTATCTATTTGTAAAATCGACCGGAATATAAATTGTTTGCAGAAAATCCAAGAGGATAACTAAATATAACGAACAGTCGTTAAACATTATAAAATTTAGGTCAAATTTAATAAGAATCTGTGAGAGCTACAATCGGAACGCAATTGTGAGTACACTACAGAATAGAACACTAACGGCAACATTGATTTGGCTCGATGTTTTAATGGCAATAGCACAAATTGGAGCATTGAACGCTGAGATTTCCTTGGTTGGTCTCAGATAGAAATAATTTTTATATATTAGAGTGAAAACGTTGAACATTTTTTCGGTTGTTTTGTTGTGCACAAGTAATCTTTATCCAAATGATGCGCTGCTTTGGCATTTGTTTGTAGTGGTGGGAGTAAATAGAGGATGTCTACAATCTACATACATCGAATATATTGGCGTAGATATGACAATTATATACATTCAGTCTGTTTGCCAAAGCGAGAAAGAAACATAGCCCATATGCCGTCTCTGATTTCATTTTTTGATGTTTTTTGGGTCAATTTACTGACTAATTGAATACCAAATGAATGTATGAATATTTCATAACGAAATCAAATTGATTTTCTTGAATATTTGTGTATTTTCAGAAAACGATGATTGGAAATTGGCAACGCACTCTGGCCAACTATTGGACGAACACTCAGAATGAAACGGAAGCAACGCTGCAACTCGTGAAAAATGATTTTCGATGCAGTGGACTCTCCTTTGACGACAATTTCAAGGAATATTTTTTGCGAGAGACGAATGATCGGTGAGAAGATGTTATTCGGATTTTTTTTTGTTTGCATTGCATTTTCAACATTAAATTGTTGACTAAATTAACTGCCTAAATATTTTATTATTTTCCACAGTGTCGCCCAAGCGTATGAGCGGTATGTCAGGAATGCCAAATTTGAAGAGCAATTCATTGCAGTTAGTGCTCAAAATCACGAATCGACGGACAAAAAGACGACCACTGATGGAAGCGATGGAACAGCTAATATTAACATATCAAATAAGTGCCATCAGCCAGCGACTGATTCAATTGCACCAGTAATAAACCAAGAGGTAAATTCAGTTGACGGTTGGCCACATACATTACCATCATCTACACCATTTCATGGCGAACCGAACAATGACATGTATCAACCATTCACAACGTTTTCGTACAACAACATCGATCCGAACAATATCACTGATGTAGCTATTGCCAACGAATCTATTTTGACTGAACAAATCAGTGACTATCAAGCAACCATTTTGAGTGGAATTGATCGGAATGAAAACGATATTGACTCAATCGAAACATCGACAACGGCTTGTGAAGCACCGACTACTCCTACTTCTATCCAGTCAACCAATGTTTTGATTGCAACAGCGACAGTGTCAGAAATAAATGAGGTCAGTTATTGCCCTGTGCTGAGTAAATCGATTCCAGTGACACCATTCCGTGATACATCTGAAGCACAAATTCCAAGCGATGAAACACTTCAACGATTTGCATCGTTTGTGTGCAATAACATCGATCCGAACAATGTGACAGCATCACTTGGAGTAATACTCAGCAAAGACTCAATGTCCAATGCACAAATCGACGAGTCTCAAGCTATTTTTACAAATGGTATGGCCACGAGTGAAGATGATATGCGAAATAACATAAAGATCAACGAGAT